TATGGTTTGACATATGCTAGTGGACGTTAGACAGGCAGGATATTTCCATATCAGACGTTCGAAAACTTCCGGCATTTTCCGAATGTATCGCGTATTTAAATATGAGATTAGACACATTTTAAGTAGCCATGGCAATGACGCTCATGTGTATGAACAAAGTTTAAACGGCAATAAAAGAAAAGTTAACATTTTAAAATGAAATTTCTTGCTTGCATTGTATTATTTTGTATTTTCTTTGTCTGTGTTAGACAGGATATTGCAAGATTTAACTTGTAAATAAATGTAGGAAAATAATATGTTGTTGTTCTTCGAATGTGAACATGTAATGACGTTTGCGACACAAAAATTAAAATATTTTTTTTACTATGCTCGTTTAGACTAAAATAAGTAAGGAATCGAGTAAAAATAGTTAATTAAACTAGACATGACGTATTTTATTTTCAGTGGGATATTAACTTTTGAAATAACAAACCAGAACCGATTGAATTACACTTTTGAAATATTCACCCATTTATCAAAATCTGGATTTACAATTGGTCTTATTGATAAAATTTAACCACAGAAGCCGAAATTTATCTCCTTCATTAACAAAAAAGACTTGCAACATAAGTAATGAATATTCATACGGCAAACACTTAAAAATATTGAGGCCCTCGACCAGCACGAACGCAAGTAAAAAAAAAAAAAAAATCTTGCTCCTTTGTGAATGCACATGCGAGTTATGGCAAAAGGCTGTTGCAACTTTTCCCCGTAATTTATTGCGGCCAGATGCAAACTGTAATTTTGATGTATGGGTTGTAAAAATGAGTGTCACCGGGCGAAAATACGATGGAACCTTATTACCGCACCAACTTTATAGCGCTGTGTAAATTTCAATAACAATAAATCTCGAGTTTTTGAATGTCAGTTCGCGCTGCTTGACCCTTTATAACCCCGAACAAAACGCAATTGTTTGATTATGGAAAAGAAATCATCACGAAAACTATGTATTTATAGTAAATTTAAAAGGAAACGACGTACACGTCATCGATGACGTCATAATTTTGCGCACTGGTACCAATACTAAATGTATAAAACGAAGTCTGTAATTGAATATTTTAATGCATTTTAAAAAACTTTAGTTGGCAGCAATTGCAATGTTGTCATGTTTATATTAAAATTTTGAATTTCGAAGCTGTCAGTTGTGTTTTTGAATATTTCGTTTAATTCGTGTATAATTATTTTGTTTGTTGTTTGTGTTGTTTTATATCGTTTATGTTTTCATTGCCGTTTTTGTGTTTGTTATACGAGGTGTGTTCAGAAAATAACGGGAATTGTTAAATTTCGCGAGTTCGGAGGGTCCGGTTGTCATAAAATTTTCTTTATTATGTTGGTATATATGCCCCCGAAGTATGATAAAAACTTTAGCTGTTTTCATTGTTTACTTTATCTGTAGCAGCCGCTAAGGTTAGGCGTGTTTTATCAGCTCGGCGATTTTTCGTTCGTTAAAAGAAATGGATCAAAGAATTTGTATCCAATTTTGCTAAAGGCTATCCCAAAGATCGAGTTTTAGAAGTGTTTCGAGTATTGGAAGAAGAGCTGGCACATGTGCATAATATCCAATGGGGACTATTTTAAAGGCGACAACATTAATGTAGATGAATAAATAAATATTTGTTTCAAAAAACGAAAATTCCCGATATTTTCTGAACACACCTTCCTTTTAAATTTACTATAGATTTTTTTAATAATTAATCAGGTGTTAAAGTTTGTTATTTATCTACATATTTTGATCTTGGCCATGTACTTTGTAATAAATAACCCCACCTAACGATTACTCTATATTATTCCTCCTGTCAATTATTATAGGTAGCATTATTGATGGTATAATCAATGGTTTAACTTGTTTTATTTTCATGGTGTTAACAATTAGATTCGCACCATCACACTGCTTAAATTATCAACTAAACACCAACTTTTTCTTATGCAATTTTTTTTGTTTCCTTATAAAGCTTAATAAACATTGTAGCGTAACACCCTGTAAATCGTAGTAAATTGTAGTCATACGCCTATCTAAAATGTTTTCGTAAATCTTTACAATGTTATGACGTATAATTTAGATTTAATTAACTATTAAAGAATAACTATAAAAAAAAATTTATATCTCTTAAATTCTAATCAAACATTTCACCTAAAACATTTAATAAAATATAGTCGACAATCTTTTATTCTATAGGCCTTCAATCATTTTTATTGTTTTTCCTGCTATAGTAACTATAGTAACGGTAAAATTGGCAAACTCAGTTATTACATAATTATAGTCAATAGAAAAGGCTATAAAGCAAATTACCCATTGAGGTGGGAAATGCGATTTTTCATAGTACGTGCTCAACATTAATGAACACTGTAAAAATCTTAATTTTTAATACCCAAGTTTTTTTTTCTTTTAATTTAAATCTTGCTAAGCATGTATTTAAAGATTGGTAGCAGTTATTTTAATAAATATGATACTGTGAACGACATTCTCCATATAAATATGCAACCTTAACATTTGAAACTCTACTCTAGTTAATAGGAACGAAAGCGAGTTTTACAAATCATAATTTTATGTTTCCTGAGGTAAATTATATTAAATTTTATTTTTATATGTAATTTATTGTCCAAATAACAAACATCGTAAACACGAATTCAAAAAAGCGGCATGAGATTTGAATACCAAAAAGGCTCGTATTTCATAAGCTGACTAATTTATATGCCGGCGTTTTTTAGGGCCCGCCAGTAGTCTAAAGATTTGATAAAATTAAAATATAAGCATTACTCTGAATTTTAATGGGGTTTTGCTCAAAATAAACCCGCATCGTTTTTTAAGGACGCCTTTAATGTAAAACACGCTAAAAGGCAATAAAACCGTAATGAAGTTATTTTGTTATCGTTTTTACCCCAAATGTTTTAAAATAAACATAAAAGTTTCTTCCTGGAATATTCAAATTTAGATAGGCACTCTCTTAAAATGAATTAGTCAAAATGTCTTACCGAAAAAGCAGCCACACTGAGAGAAATTAATTTGTTAAATCAAAAGTTTTAGAAATGCCATGCCTTTTGATATTAAAACAATTAACATTTTGTTGACATAAACTTACATTTTACTTTCAATTAATATTTTGAGAATGTCAAATTAAAAATGTTATTTTAATAGTCCATTTTATTTAAATCAGTATATCAACACTAAACGTATATTAAATAAAAATTGTTCAGAAACAATCTGTAAATACTTCTTAAAATTTTAGTGTTTAGGTAGGTAACTGGTTAAAATAAAACATGTTATAATAAAGGGGTTTATTGAGAATATTTTTTGGTTTTTGCTTATTTTTAACAATTTAAAACTTCTCAGAACTTGAATATTTTCTATGAGAAAGAGGTACAAAATTATGATATGTTCTGCATTTTTAATTGCAATTAAATTCATGAATCTAGAACACTCAGTAATTTATTACACTTGCAAACTTTTTGAAATCACAATTTAAATATTCACAAATAATATTTATGAAATATTTTTGACAGTTCTGACATTTCTCTACCAAACATGAATTGACTAAGTCAAAGCCATCTAAATTTTAAATTATAAATAAAACTAACAATATCGCTTCTTAACTGCATTAAAAAAATTATTATATCTTTTATATGGATAAAAATAACAAAACAAGACTAACTAGACTAAAAAGGGGGGACTACATTTACTGAAAGTTTCAGATTTTTATTTTTTTCTTCAACATAATGATTTCTGAGGGCAAAATTGGCTAAATTTGAAAATTATCAAGTTTCAATAATTTTTTTAATAAAGAAAATGATAGTCTAGAAACTTAAAATAATAGTTACGTTTTCTATTGTATAAGTACTTGATGCCTGAAAAAAAGCAACTTTCTATATTTAGCAGAATAGGCACAGGAGCCAGACAAAAATCACAAAAATTGGCAAATTATTACAAATCTTTAGTGGTTTACCATTCTTTTATGAGATGAACTAAGTAGATAATAATATTTAATATTGAAAACATACTTACTAGACAGTAAATTAAAATTACAATCATTTGAATAATTGCCACAGAAAAAAAGTTTTAGCCTCTTATAAGAGAGTAAGAAAATGACACAATTTCAGGTTTGTAAAGGGTGCCGATTAAAAATAAAGCAACTAAAAATTAAAACGGCAACGGTTTTTCATATATGATACCTAAAAGATCATCCTCAAATTTTTTCATTAAAATAAAAAATCATGCAGCGCACTTTTAAATTCATTTTTGGTGTTTTCATTTGGATTGACTCATAAAATAAACTTTATTGTTGGACAAGATATCGATAAGGAAAAGCTTTTAAAAGTCTTAATTCTAAAAGCAGGTCCTTGAATAAGGTTTTAAAGAAATAAAAGGAATACAAAAAAACTATTACGGTTAAGTAGTGTATACATATTCAACTATTGTATAAGTATTTAAGTAGTGTATTGTTTGTTGTTTAAAAGGGTTTAAAAAAATAAAAAAAAATCGGATTTTTTTTATTAAAATGAAATTTTTTGATTTTAATTAAATTTTGGATATAAAAATTGATTTAAATTTATTATGTTTTATTTTGTGTTTTTTTTTTAAATAAATTTGATATTTTATTCAATTTTTCCAGTGTGTTATATTTATATACTTTTATATTTGGTTTAATTATCCAATATTTTAAATAAAACATTCTTTTTTAAGTAATTTTTTTTTAACATTCATGAATAGTTCTTTTAACTCCAAGTAAACATTGTTTGTAATGCATGTGCAAAACTGTTGATTTAATCATTTATTGGTTAATTTAACCATTTTTTTCTTTCAGTGTAGTGGCTGTTTTTTTGTTATGACAATTAGTCATTTTTAAGAGAGCATATTTGCTAAAAAATTCTAAATTAAATGTCAGAACTGTACTTTAATCTAGTGGCCTTGTTGGGGGCCATTTTGTGAAATCCTAACCTAAAAACTAAATTGGCATTTTGCTTACCTCTGGGCACTCCACTCGCTTCCGATGGTGCCAAATACGTTGGTTCTTCGGAAGATGCATATCCTGCTGATCCAAAGGAACTTCCCGAGTGACGATACTCATGAGGGACTGCTGGTGGGGCGACTTTTTTAGCGGTAGCCGTCGGCTTGGGCGGCCGCGACATTCCGCCTACTAAAAATAAGAAAGAAAAAATGAATATTTTTCGAAATCTGAAATCAGATCTGCAACTTAAATCCTTCTTCTATTCAGGTAGTTGGAGGTGTCAACATTCTGAATATGGTCAGTATAATTGGCAAAGAAACATGCACAAGGTTTGACCTGATCCATTACCCAAACAAAGAAACATTTATACCTGCGCTTTGATTCGTAAAATTATGTTTTGCAATAAAACCAACGCTACGTTGGTTTTTAAACCTTCAATTACAAAGGCTGAAATCAAACTCTCAATTTGTAATCATTGGTAATCTCCTCCATTACGCCTCCTGGATGCTTACAAGGGAAAGTCAAAATATACAGTAACTGGCAAAAGTTGATTTGTAAAAGTTACACTACAAAATACACTAGGTAGCATTTAGTGCTTATTAACTGTATTGAACACATTTAAAGAATATGAACATTATTCATTGGTACTTTTACACTATTTATTATTAAAATAAATCAAAAGGGTAGAAAAACTTAATGCGAGTGTTTATTACCCCTTAATGTGTTAAATAGTGACAAAATGTACACTACAGTGCATGCCAATTTCTTTGTCTGTTTTGATATTACTAAGTCTTTTTTTTTTCTTTACACTACTAGTGAACATTGTATCACAATTAAAGTTAAATTAAATTAAATAGTGGCAAAATAGACAAAACTGGTAATAACCGAAATGCGTTTTAAAATGTTTGGTTGGTACCTATCTACCTACGCAGTGCATATCCGGAGATACCGCGTTGTGGAAGTGTGGCATTTTTGTTCAGTTATATTTTAATTACGGATTTTAATAAGGGGACATTCTTATTTTTTGGTAAGTATTATACTTCCTTTTTCTTTAAGCCTTAATACTCAATAAATACCAATATGTTAAAAGGATGTCCTTACCCGACCTATATTATATATCAACAATTTACGGCAGTAGGTTGGGTACTTGTAAAATCAATAAAATAAATAAATACACACTTGATTTACTTTTTATTTTCAAGCGTAATGGTTGTTATATTATACCTACATTTTTATTATAATTATGGAAAATTTGTACACGTGTGGTAAATCCCCGACATACAGCCGCCTGATGCCTCTCTACCAATGGGATCACCCATTTTTATAACAGAAAAATGGATTACTGGTGAATTCTCAAGATAATTCATTGCTTACAAGTTGACAGCCAGTAAAACATTGCATTGATCTAAAACTTTTACGTTTTAAGGAACCGTTTTGCTTAAGCCAGCCATAGGACTCAAATATAAAATTATATTTTAAAAGGCACCGATTTTGATAATTGTCATAGATTTTTGTTCCAAATAAAGGTTTCTCTTTATTTACCTTTTCGTTTTATTCACTACCACCAATAGGTTTCACTCAAATAATAGTGTTAATTTACACTGGAAGTTTGCACTAAAAGAGTAAAAGTACCTTTCTAAAATTATAACTTTTCCAAAGTAGTGTTAATTTACACTGAACAAAAGTGGGATTTTACCCAGAATACGAGAATATGACAGGACAAACGTATTTGGAACTTAACTTAATTTAACTTAACTTGGAAGCTTTAATGCATCCAACGTATAGCCCAAACCTTGTATCAACAGAAGCCTTCAGTTTTTTGCCAAAAAACACAGAAGTTCTTAAGCAATCGATTAATGGTTCCATTCACTGAGAGAAGGTTTTATTTCAGCGAAAGGCATAAAGTTTGTTGTGCAAAATATTGCACGTTTTATGGAAATCTACATACATTTTATTCAAACGTAAAAAACCCAATCTTAATGACTATTAGTACAAAGTTTGCATAGAACTTAATAATATTCCAAGCAAACACAGCACCCTAAACGAATCAACCATTTCTGGCAAAGCAGTTCACCTATTCTAAGCAAAAGCACTAATTTTGAATTAAATTTCAGTTGTTTGATTCAAAGCTATCACTCTCAAACAATTGCAACGTTTGTTAAAAATATTCTTTTCTCTCCAATTGGAATCAAAACTTTACTCTTGTAGGCGCTTTAATTTCGTTCTTCAAGAATCCCAAATCAATTCTTCGAGACGTGTAATGCCTCTCGTTTGCATATTCGAAGGAAAATCTGGTTTTGAGCGGGCACGTCGGCTAAAATGTCCCCGGCCGTTTGCATAAGTTTCGAATTAGCGGGGAATTGAACATGCGTTTAATGCGGCACCGGCTAACAGCCGATTCCATTGTGCTCTCTCCGGTTGTTGCATTGTGTACGCGGATTTTGTTCAGATCGTTATCTCCGTTTGTTTTCGCTATTGAAACGTTCGCTGGCCGGGATTATGGCACGAATCATTGGAAAAAATGGCCAACGTGCCTTTGTTTTCCGAGAAGCTGGCACGCGGAATATTACTGCAGCCACTTTGAGAATACGAATGGAATAACTGTTTATTTAAATTAGATCCTAACTCTCCTGTTGCTTTTTAGAAGGAACGATGATGCTAGGTACAGTTGTATTCATTAAAAAAGCGTACAATAATTAGAATGAGTGAAAACTGTCAACATTATTGCGTAAAGCCGGCTTTCCACTGACAGTAGAACATAAGCCTCGTCAGTTATCTCAAGATGAAAAGGCTTAAATAGTGTCAAGAATCAAAGAAGTATGGTCAATTCGTGATGTAACGCAGTTGTATAATATAAATAAAAAAACTATATTAAAAATTCAGCAATGCTGGAAACAGGAAGATATACTAAATTGAAAAGTCGGTCCACCCCTGAACAGGATGCTGCTTTGAGATATTTAAAAAATAATCCGTTTGCAACAGCGAGGGATGCTGTTATTGATACAGAATTTCCAGGCTCTCAACCTACCTCCAGCAGAAGAATCAAGAAATCTGAATTAAAAAATTAACAGGATAACGGTCAAATTCGTGTTTATACCCCCGATAATACTATGGTATTATTGAATATTTTATTGTAAAAAAATGATATCAACAAAATTACAGGCTTCAATATTCTTAGGATTTATTGGAAACTATACATGACTGTAGGAAAGATATTAATCTAAATATTGTAATTAATTTAATTCAATCAATCCCAAATAGATTACCTGAAGTAATAGAAAAACAAGAATGCATTACTTAATATTAATTTTTTTTCATTTGTAATAATTTTTGTATTATTATTTAATTAACCTACTACATCAATTTTAATGACTTACATATGTATGTCAGTGATAAGCCGGTTTTAAGCAATAATAATATTTTGACAGTTTTCTCTCATTCTAATTCTTGTACGCTTTTTTAATGAATACAACTGTACTATGCTCCACACCTCAAAGTCTCACCACGTGACCACTTACGGAACGCAGTCTTTTAAAAATTTGGCATTTAAGGCTTTTCAGGTTATGTATCTGTCAAAGTATAGTCAATGAAAGAAATAATATAATATATAAATATTAAATAATATTTATATATAAATATTATTTCTTTCATTGACTATACTTTGACAGATACATAACCTGAAAAGCCTTAAATGCCAAATTTTTAAAAGACTGCGTTCCGTAAGTGGTCACGTGGTGAGACTTTGAGGTGTGGAGCATAGTACAGTTGTATTCATTAAAAAAGCGTACAAGAATTAGAATGAGAGAAAACTGTCAAAATATTATTATTGCTTAAAACTATAGTGTTACCGCTTATGTTTAAGCGTTAAAAGTTAATAAATCTTTATAGTATCACGATAAGAATGGTTGGTTTAAGAATTTAGGAATATAAATACTGCATTTAATGAAATTCCAAAGTGTAAGGTGCAATATAAGTGATATTTTTGTGCATTGGGTCTACAATTCTCCATAAATTACTTTTAACTAAAAAAAATCTAACTTCTCTATTATGAAATAAGAATATCTGTATTAGAACAAAAAATATCATCTAATTTTGTATTTTAAGGTTAGAAAAATCTATTTTGACCAAAATAAATAAGTGGATTATTTAGAAGAGTGTGTTACTATGGTCATAAATACTAAATAATTTTTGAATATGGTTCAAATTAAATTGAAGCTTTTATACTTCTAATGACAAAACTTGTGCATACCTCTCGGCATACCTACTTTGTTAGATTTTAAGAAAACAAACAATTTTTAGAGAAATTGCAATGTGAAAATATTTAAAACTCCCATGACATGTGATTTATTAAAATTTTTAAAGTTAAAATGATTTTTCGATGTAGATCAAGTTCAGTCGAAGCTTTTTAACTATTTGTATTGACAAAACTATATGTAGGTACACTTTAAGCTGGATAAGAAAAACTACCACATTATTAAATACCATATTATACTGTCTTTTAAATAATCCAAAATACTTATTTATTTTGGTCAAAATAAATTTTTCTAACCTTAAAATTACAAAATTAGATGATATATTTGTTATAATATATTAACCTACCTTTAAAACAGATATTCTTATTCCATAATAGAGAAGCTAGATTTTTTTTAATAAATGCTGTTTAGTTAAAATTATTTTATGGAGAAAACCAGATATTTACTAATATTACTTATTTGGCACCATACACTTTAGAATTTTATTAAATGCAGTATTTATATTCTTAAATTCTTAAAGCATCCATTCTTATTGTAATGTTATAAAGATTTATACATTTTTAACGACTAAACATAATATTATTTCTTTTGTTGACTATACTTTGACAGATACATAACCTAAAAAGCCTTAAATGCCAAATTTTCAAAAGACTGCGTTCCGTTCGTGGTCACGTGGTGGGACTTTGAGGTGTGGAGCATAGTACCATTTGGATATCATTTGAACACTATTAAGATAATTTAGTATCTAGATCTTATATTGCATTCTAAAAATATATATATCCTTCCCTCCATGAGATAACAGTTCATAATCTAATTATAAACTTGTATTAATATAAACTGGTTTAACGGTGGCATAATGCCCCATTAGGAAGTCTAACCCCGCGTATAAAGCTCCATATGCAGGTGAACGTAATTAAATATGGAAATTCGAATATT